GTTAATTAGTCTGTTTTCTTCTCGTCGCCCCCATCTGATCCATCGAGAGGTCTGACCATCGATTATATCTGCTCCCTCCTCGCTCCTCCCTCTTCACCATCGTTCCTCTCGTTTCCCTACGCCGGTGACCTCACCCATCTACGTCGTCATCCACCGGAGCTAACACTACCGCAACCAACCCCCCTACACACACACCCTTTTCCATTTTTTTTTCTTTCCTTACAGTTTCACGTCTCTATATACACTTTATGAAATCGATTTCTTCTACCAGTATATGGATTCTCTTTCTTGATAAATGGATTACAAAAGAGTTGTAGGTTTTGGTTATGATCGGAAAGAAGAGGTGGTTAGAGATTGTGTCCAGCGATTGGAGTTGTTCATCTTCATGTATGGTGGGTGAGGGTGGGAATGATGGTGATGATCGGAAAGAAGAGGTGGTCGGAGATGGTGTCCGGCAATTGGAGGTCGTCGGCAATGGTTGCCGGTGATGAAAGAAGTGGGTGGGGGCAAAAATATGGTGGGGTTAACTGGTTATGATGGGGGGGGGGGGTTGTAAAGTGGGCCTAATTATTGTTTTTATTATTAATAAACATACAATCAATAATAATAATAAGGGAAAATATATTAGAAAGGGCAAAAGAGTCTTTTCACCTTGGTCAGGGACGAAGAACGCAACAAACTAAAATGGTAGGGATCGTCAGAGTGCAAAAAAAAGTTAGGACCAAACACGTAATTTTCGTAAAACCACAGGGACAATTTCAGTAATTTGTTCATATATATATATATATATATATATATATATATATATATATATATATATATATATATATATCTATATATATATATATATATATATATATATACACACACACGCTCATTATAGAGCTATTCACTAAAATAACTGTATATGAAAGCTCTATGCTAACCTTAATTTTAACTAATATCACAAAAGCTAGATTATAGAAGATAGTCGAAATTTTAATATTTTTGCAACGTATCAGTGGTGAAATAGTTTATCGTTGTAATATCGATTTGATAATTCAAAAATTATTTTGTAAATGATCAGTTTCGACGTTGATGGTCTTTTTAATTATTTATCTAAAATGTTATAAAAAAATCAAAAAGTATACCGTAAATGATCGGTACCGATGTTGATGCAAAAATATGATAAAAAAATATTAAAATAATATTTGAAAAATAGTTATGTTCATGAATACCTATTTATAATATGCTTACATATGTTTGTGAAATTTTGACCTTTCACATTTTGTACCGGTAAAATAAGTGTTTTTTCTTTAGATATGGTTTGAAAATATTTCACTTTTATATAGAAAGATTTTGAATTGTTGCAAGAAAGTTTCAATCAATTTAATTATAATTTTAAAAAAAATATAAAATACATATTAACTACTTATTCAATTTATCCCGTTAACAAAAATAATAAAAATTAAACCAAATAAAGTTATCTTTATTCGATTAAACAAATCAAATAAACCAAACCCAATAATCCAAACATCATTTTATTCGGTTGGATAATTTTATATTTTTTATCACTCTTAAGGTGGAATATAAAATGATAAATTCAAATGACATTTTATCGAATACGAAACAACTAACAACATATTCGGTTTTATAAAAAAATGATTGTTTTATGGTGAAAATTATACACTTTTGAGATTTTAGTGGTTGAACATAAAAGATTTTATCTTATTTTAAAAGTTAATATCATAATATTTTTATCAGTTTTATTCAATTTTCTTGAAAAGAATATATATATATATATATATATATATATATATATATATATATATATATATTCCAGTTTGGTCATTTTATTCGTTATTTTAGAAAAAAATTGTTAAATGTGAATTTATGGTAGTAACCCTTAATTTAAAAAGAAAATGACAACAATAGTTATTTTTCTTAACATTTTTACAAGAACTGGCCAAAATTTACGTGACTTCCACTAATGACTCTATTTTGTAGTGGGCACTACGAAGGCCAAAATTTACGTGACTTCCACTAATGACTCTATTTTGTAGTGTCCTATAAAATTTTAATTTACGTTGTCTTTAAAAAGTTATGAATCTACATAACTTTCCTACCAAACACTTTCAACTAACTCGACTTTTTATTAATTTCCACATACCGTATTATCCAACTATTATATAGACATGTTAAATTTAAAACAATATTCACACCAAAACTACATTAATTCATTCACTTTCCTATCTATTTGTTATAAAAAATGTATGTTAGGCCATCCGAGAAGTCCAATCTTTTTTATGTTAAAGTTTTTTTCGTTTGAATCGAATGAGTGCAGTAATAGCCTATTTCTCTCTCATCTCTATCACTATCAAATTATCCTTTCTTTTTTTCATATTATTTTAACAATGAATTAATTACTTAATTATGTAACAAAGCATTAACCCAACAATAATTTAAATCTATTCATAATTCACTTTTGGGTAATTTAATACATGCTTAAAGAATTATGCCCATCCGTTATACTCTTTCAATGTGGAGAGGAAAGGGTTGCAAAAGGTCAAACGGTTGGTTTGAGGTATGAACTCGACAGATTAACTCTCGTATTTGACAAGTTCAGATTACAATTGAACACAAAAGCACCAGTGGTCTAGTGGTAGAATAGTACCCTGACACGGTACAGACCCGGGTTCGATTCCCGGCTGGTGCAATTGAGCTATGATGTCACGCCTCCTTCAACAGTGGGTCTGTTGTCAATTCACCATTTATTGATGAAAAGTCAGGCCTTTCTGAGCTCTTTCTTTTTATGCAGTCATATACACAAGAGAGAGACACAGACTTGCTTGCAACTTGAAGTTTTTTTTCCATCTCTTATTACTTATGGAATCATTTCCATTAATCTCTTATGAAGTTTCAAGAAATGCATTTATGTTCATTGATTATGCTATCAACCGATGGAAAAGCCTTTAATTTCATACCATCTTATATATTAATTATTTGATGATTTTTTGGAAGTCATAAAAGAATAGTTTTTAAAGTTTGAAAAAACATTTTGGATTTGCATCATCTCGTGGGATTTGTCAAGAATTGGAGTTCAATTATATTTATTCCTGTGTTTGGTGGGAATGGATGTGGATTTTTATTTTATTGGGATCCACAACATAAAATATCTCACCGCTGAAGGAATTCGACTTTCCTTTCATACAACCAGGAAATTCAATCACAATCTTACCACATTTTTGTTAGTGACCCAAATACCCTTTATAAACTTTACCTAGTTTTTCCAAACCAAAAGTGGATAAATGTGTATTTTATGATTTTATCAAGCACAAGATTTTTGGTGATCACTTAATAAGGACTTTGAATGCTGGTTCCCTTAAATGAATGCATGACTGATATTATTATTTATGTTTAAGTTTATTTTGTTTAAATCGAATGAGTACAATAACTTTGTTATGTAACAAATATTAACCCAATTTCTTCTTTCTTTCTCTCACATCTCTATCAATTTCTTCTTTCTCTCTCTCATAATATTTTAATAATTAATTAATAACTTTGTTATGTAACAAAGCATTAACCCAATTATAATTTAAATCTATTATAATTCACTTTTGGATAATTTAATATATGCTAAACAAAATTGCCTTGCCCATTCATTTATACTTTTTCAAAAAGGAGAGGATAGGTGCTCTAGGATTTTCTAAGAAAAACTAGTCCTCATGCTCATTTTGCACATCCGCAAAAAGGCGAAACTGTGGTCTTGAAGTAATGCTCATCTAAGATATGGACCCAACAGAGGATGTTTTTGATCTTGAGAAATTTAGATTGCAAAAAGACACAAAAGCACCAGTGGTCTAGTGGTAGAATAGTACCCTGCCACGGTACAGACCCGGGTTCGATTCCCGGCTGGTGCACTTGAGCTGTGATGTTACGCCTTCTTCAACGGTGGGTCCGTTGTCAATTCATCTTTCATAGATGAAAATTCAGGCCCTTCTGAGCTCTTTTTTTCTTCTAAAGTTTTATTGTTCTCTATGTAATTGGATTATATTGAGCTACTTTTATCACTTCTGGGATTTCATACTCTTGTTCAAATAGTTCTACAACTTCCTCCATCTCATATCTGCGTTTTTTATTAAATAATAAACCAAAAAACTGTAATTTCTTCTTCGTCTCATTAATTTCTAAGTTTTGTTCTTAATGTTCTTCAACACTATATTTCATGTTTGTTTCTCGTTCAAGTTCATGTTCTTGATCATTACCTTTAAATTACTTCAAATCAAATGCTTTTTTTTTTTTGCCGGATTTCGTCTTCATTGTCAACAAATCCTTCATAATCCTCATCATTTTGATAAATTGTTGGTGCCCAAAAACGATTTGAAAGAGCTTCCATCTTCATATATGCATCTAGATCAACAACAAACATGGGCGGACGCAAGATTTCACAGTAGAGGTTGCACGGGAAAGTCAGGGGTTGCACGATAATAGAAAAAATAAAAATTTTGAAAAATTTTCCAGTGCGGCCGGAAAAGTTAGGGGTTGCCGGTGCCACCCTGGACCACCCCTAAATCCGCCCCTGACAACAAAGCATTCTTTATTGCTACACAAATGCTCGATCTTCTTCTTGTTTAGTCCCTTCAATTCCTTCATTTCCATCGTGACATGCCACAACCACCATGAAAACCAAGTTTTTTCAATAAGTTTTCTAATATTTAGCAAACTATATGGTTAGACGTTAGAGCTTTTTCATAGTTTAATATTATTATACTTATATATCCATATATTTTGTTTTTGATTGGTAATATGAGACTATAAAAAAATTATGTAAAAAAAACTCTTCTATTATAAGTGTTTATAAAGCTTTTTGAATTAGTGATTTGGCAATGACATGTGACTATACAAATACCAAAAAACTTTCTTAAAGAGTTGATAGATGCTCTAAGAAAAAATAGGCGCATGAAGGCATTAGGGATATGTCACATGAAAAAATTGAGAAAAACCAAACAAATTCCTTATAACTTCATATCACACTCTATAAACCTTAAAAACGCATATTACCCAACCTCGTAGGATCCGTGATATGCGATCTTCTTATCTATAAATGGCGCCGCTCAATTTGTCGCCACTCAAATTCCAAACCGATACTCTTATGATACCACCGCTCTTTTACAGAGCTCTCTTCAAATCCATATCGACCGCCATCACCATGTCTCTTCAATCCACTTCTAAACCCATCAAATCTCGCCTCAGGGGAGTGGTTTTTGACATGGACGGAACCCTTACAGTCCCCGTAATTGATTTTCCGGCCATGTACAAAGCCGTCCTCGGCGAAGATCAGTACCTTTCCATCAAATCCGCTTCCCCTTCTGGCATCGACATTTTGCATCATATCGAACAATGGGAACCTTCCAAGCAACAGAAAGCTTTCGAAGTTATTGCCGATTTTGAGCGCCAGGGGCTCGATCGACTCCAGGTTATGCCGGGTAAAATCGCATGAATTCATTACCTTTCCTGATCAATTTCCGTCTTCGTACGGGATGATGGATAGATATTAGCAGTATAACGATGTTATTTAGCTGATTGCAAGTAGAATTTGGTGTTGCGACATCAGATTTATACATTTGAATCTGCATAATAATTGGGGAAATTCATAGGTTTCGTCAATTTCTTCGTGTTGCTGCTCATAACAACTTAAATTTCATAACTTTCAGTGTTCTTGGAACTCCATTCGGTAATAAAAACTTTTCGTAATACTTGAACAACAATGCAGGTGCTGCAGAACTTTGCGGGTTTCTTAATTCGAGGAATATCAGGTTAGATTTTAGATTTTGCTCACATGATTTCTTTATAATATGATCGCTTATACAAATTATCTGTATCCCTTCATTACATTTTGCAATTGAATTGATTGCTTTTGCAGAAGGGGACTTATAACTCGTAATGTCAAATTAGCTGTTGATTTGTTTCATGAACGATTTGGGGTATATATTTTTCTTTTCTTCTTTTCTTCTCATTACATTACTAAATCATTAAACTCATAAGGACATATATTGTTACAGATGTCATTTTCTCCAGCATTGAGCAGAGAATTTCGACCTTATAAACCAGATCCAGCTCCCCTGCTTCATATATGTTCAACATGGGAAGTTGAACCTCATGAAGTGATGATGATTGGAGATAGCTTGAAGGATGATGTGAGTGATTAATGCCTTCCAATTTCTAAGGGATATATAAAGTAATAATTTTTTTAATGTTATGATTTTAAACAGGTGGCTTGTGGGAAAAGGGCAGGAGCATATACATGTTTGCTTGATGAAACAGGAAGGTATGATTCTCCTGAATATGCTAATGTTGAACATAAACCAGATTACAAGGTATCCTCTCTTGATCAAGTGCATTCACTATTGGAGTCAAACTTTGACTTAACGCCTTGACTATTGGAGACTTTATTGAGTTTTTAAGTGAAGTGCCTTTCATGATTTGGATATAAAACCAGAATGAGAGGCTTCAGTTGTTCAAGATTTTTTTGGGTAGAAGAAGCATTGAATTGATGTTGGCTCTTAAGATTGTTCGAAGTATTTGTGAAAGAAATAGATTAGTTCACATTTTGTTATATGGGCTTCTTTTGTGGTGGTGTTTCAAGCCAAAACAATGGGAATGTTGTATATTTTTGTAAACTGGTTTGACTTTTGACCCAAGTCAACAAGTCAACACGGAGTCTTTCTTTCTTTGATTAGAATTTGATCATTATTAGTTTGCTAATAATCAAGAATACGTTCTTTTAGTTTGATTTTGTAAAGTTCTCTATGTTTTTTTATTTAAAATATCAAAATAATAATAATAATAATAAGAATTTAAAAAATTTAATAATCAATTTTATTTAAAAGGAACATTTTGAAAATCTTCCATAAAAGCTCATGGTAAGAGCATCTTTGACGTATTATATTATATAGCTTAAGGTTTGATCTCTTATTGTAAAAGCACAACTTTAATAAAGACATCAAATATCAATAATTATTACCATAATTTTTTTATTACTTTGCTGATACTTTTTATATGAACACATTAGGCCGGAGGGTATGTATCGGTTTGGGGGGTGTGGGAAGGGAACCGCAGCCGGAAACACAACACTGCCACCGTGGTTTATGGTGTGCGGGAACGGAGGGAGGGAAGGCTACCCCGCCCCCTCTCTCTTCAACTCATTGGCTGATTTTTTTTTCTTATTCCAACGGTAACCTTTTAAAATAAATTTTTTTTTTTTTTTTTTTTTGTTTCAACGGCTATAAACTAGAATTTTTCATTTTTTTTAAATACGTTTACCACTCTATAAATACTAAACAAACCTAACATGATTTTCACACTTATTTCTATATATTCTCTCAAAAAACCCACGTAAACACAATCTCGTCATTGTCATCTTCATCATCCGATTCGATGGCTCAAGCAGATGCATTGATTGTCGGTTCCGTCATGACAAAAACAGTGGTGTATTTTCGAAACCGACAAGGTCAAAGTTCATGTTCACGACTTCAAACAAGAAACCCTCCGTTGGTGAGAAATCATGAAATTGGGCATAACCGTCTTATAGAAGACTATTTTGCATATGATGCCGTACACGCTGAAAAGTTTCGACGGCGGTTCCGGATGAGGAAAGAATTATTTTTATGTATTGTTAGCGATTTGGAAAGTCGTTTTCCATTTATCCAATGGAAGTCGGATGCAAGAAGCAAAAAATGTTTTTCTCCAATTCAAAAATGCACAATCGCAATTCGTCAGTTAGCATACGACACGAGAGCAAACAAATGAGACGAGTATTTGCGCAAACCAACCATCAACGATGTCCACCAATTGTACACGGTGCATGACAGTAAAGTATGGGTTCCTAGGAATGTTAGGTAGTATCGATTGCATGCACTGGTCTTGAGCATTGTGCCCCAACGCATGGCGTGGTTAATATATGCGAAACGATCATAGAGAGCCGACGATTGTTCTAGAAGCAATCGCATCACATGATCATTGGATATGACATGCATTCTTTGGTCCAACTGGTGCAAACAACAACATCAGTGTTCTAGACCAGTCATCGGTATTCAACGATATCTACATTCGAAAGTCGCACGATGTACAGTTTGAAGCAAATGAGGTAACATATAAGCGCGACTACTATCTTACTGGCGGGATATATCCTATCTTATCTGTTTTTGTGAAATCGTTCACATGTTCGAACGACGAAAAAAGAAAAAAAATTTAAGGAGGCACAAGAATCAGCTATGGATGACGTGGAGCGAACATTTGGTGTACTTAAGAGACGTTGGCAAGTACTACAAGCCTGGACACAGTCATATGAAGTGAAAAGGTTGCAACACATAATGTACGTGTGCATCATGTTACATAATATGATTCTAGAAGATGAAGAGTAGTTGTTGGTACGTAAGAGTATATGGTGATAAGAAGAGAAGTATATGATCGCGACATTCATCACGCCCTTCGTGTGGATTTGGTGGAGCACATATACAGGGCTCGCATACAAACACGATGATTTGCTTAACGAATCAGATGAAGATTCAGATATGTGCGTCGAAGACTCGGGCGAGGATTCGGATGACGATCACGAGGATGAAAGTGTCGAGGACGATGTCGAGGACTCGTGCGAGGATTCAGAGTGACGTATTTTTTTTTTCAAATTTAGATATTATGTAATTTTTAATTATCTTTCCAAGTCTTTTTAAAAAATCTAGGTTGTGTTTTTGTAAATGTTGGTTGTTTCCAGTTATTATTATTTTTATTTTATTTTATTTTATTTTTGTAATCTTGATTGTTTTTTCATGTACCTTTTTTTGAAGTAATGAAATATTTTTATTTTAAATAATTATTAAGTTTATTAATCATTTTTAAGGAATTATATTTATTTTTTGGATTTATAAAGCTTAAATTTAGATTATTTTTATTTAAAAAAGTAAAAGTGAAATGTGACCATTTCCTACTTTTTAGTGAATGAAATGTGATTAAATAAAAAACTAGGTGCCACTCAAAAAATGAGTGGTGAAATATGGATACACCCTTCGGTCTTATTAAATATGCTTTTTGATATATATTTAATACTTATTCACAATTATTAGTCAAAAAGTGTCATGTTTAATTAATATGTTTGAATGATTAGAAATTAAGGCATAGATTTTTTTTATTACTAATTTGTAATATATGTTACACATTACTAATTTTTTATGGATACTGACAAAAATAATTATAAAGAATAAATCAATTATCTTAAATGACTTATTTTTCATAGATTTAAGAGTAAGTATCTGGTCTAGAACACCACTAATTGGACTACGTAGTACACATACCAAACTGTTAATTATTATTTTGCTATTTTGACCGGACATAAAAGGGTTCAGAATCTAATGTGTAGTAAGGTATACTTTGAACTAACAAATTGTAAATTCCAAACTAACCATATATTTATGAATTCACCTAATATTTTTTACTTGCCATCTACCCCTTATTGTAATGTATAAACATGTTAACCTTAACATTTTCTTGTTCTTACCAAAATTGAACTAATTCATTTATTATAAAATCATTTAAAATAATACATTTACTTTCATATAAACATGATTTCATCCAAGCAAGTTTGTAAAAACATGTAAAGATGGTGTAGGCATTACACAATCGAATAGGTTAATGATGAAAATAAATAAATACTAGGGACTAAAATTGTCTACTAGAAAACTTGTCATAATTAGTTGACTTGGTCAATAACCTAAATGATAGAGTAATGGCGGAGTGGAAAAATGTATTAACCTTGAAACTTTATTTAAAAATCCATGTCAAATGGTGCCCATTTGTGAAATAAGAAACATGGGAACTTAACTCGCCAAATAGCCGAAGATTTAGAATAACTAGTTAGCCTCCCCTCATTTAGATTTAGAAACGGGAATGAGAAGTTAAAAAGCATCTCCATGGCGATCTCATGTTCTTGAGCAAAACCTAGGGCTAGGGTTTGAAGATTAAGAAGAAGGTTGAAGCTTGAGATCATTACCAAGACATTTGAGGTATAATATTCTCATTTCTAACTCAAAAATCCGATCTAGTATTTGGGTGATGAGTTAAATATGAAAACCCATGCTAAATTATGTTTATAAGTTAGTTTTCTCATTTTGATGTCGTTTCCATAGTTCCAAGCTTGAATCATCATCCCCCTCACTGTATTTTTGAGTTTGGGATGATTTGAATCATAAACCCTAGACATGGAGAAACAAGGACTTGGTCAATGAATCATGTTATAAATTGCATTAGAATAAGTTAGATTAATATTTTCTTACTCAAAATGAATCAACCTCGGGTATTCACGTCAGACAATTTAAATGCCTAACTTATTTTGATTTATGCACAAATTGAAGACGATAACAATTTAAAAGTTGCTTAGACGATATCAAAGAGATTTTGAAAGCCCCGGGTTGTAGGTTGCAATTGAACTATATGATGTTATTAAATTGATTACTACCTCGTTCTTTTAAACAAAACTCCACATTTTGAAACTTTTAAACCTAATATAACACACAAATATTTAAAATATTTTTAAAACACACAAATATTTAAATTATTTTTAAAACTTGCTTTAGATTATGGGGCCATATATTTTCCCACAAATATGAACTCTAAACTTTTGGAACTTATACAAATATTTTTAAAATGTTATTTTAAACTACCCTAGCGAGGGGTGTTTTAATGCTTGAACTTAAACAAATATTTTTAAAAGGTTATTTTAAACTACCCTAGCGAGGGGTGTTTTAATGCCTAATTATACATTCAAAGCAATGATGGACGTTGAAAGAAAGAGACTAAAAAAATGGTTAGATATTTAATGAACATGTAGACATTCTCTTAACAAAGCTGAAAGAAAAGATATTCCATGTGGTTTGCCCGAAATAACACTTTTAGTCCTAATATTGATATTTAATCATGGGTTGTCCATGTGGAGATTTTTGGTATCAGCGGTGGTCCCTAGGATCGTTACCGTTTAACAAGCTTACGTTAAGTGTATATCAATTGACAAAAATGCCTTTGTTTTTTTGTTTGTTTTTTTTTTCTTTTCTTATTTTTTTCTTGGACCAAATTTACTATAACCTAATAGCATCAGGGACCAAAACTGAAACACGTTGTTTAAACCTACCGTCAATCTCTTCCCCTTCCTCGTCCTTTCGTCTACCTAATGCACACACCACTTGTATATAAACCGACCCCCTGACCTTGGAACACATACCTTTCAACATTCTCCTGTAAACACCCATCATCCTCACCATAACTACACCATGAATACCAAGTAACTCAAATCTGTCATTCAAAACCTCATTCACAAAGAACACCGGACGAAAGCCACTACGATGGAGCTGTATAAAAAAAAATCCAATCCGACTTCGACATGAAGGAACAAATGATGAAGGAACTCACATCCAACCCCTTCCATTCTAAAAATCCTCCTTATCGATTCCCGTAGGTCAGATGTGGAGCTCATGAGAACCCTACTGATGACTATGGAAACCATGCTATAGACAACCACCACTTATGAAGGAATGATGGAATATGTCTGCGACAACTAACGTACCCCAGTTAACGAATATACGAAGCTTTTGAAGAACTCTTTTGTGTAAAATGTTAACTTAGCTACTATATGTAGTTTCCTATTTTTGTTCCTTCTTAGAATGCATGTGAAAAATCAGACCATTTGGTTGTATTAATCAACATGGTTGAAGAATATAATGAAAAAACCAACGCTTTTAAAAAAACAATCATTCTTCAAACATACTATATGTATTAGTTTCTCCAATTTCTTGCCCCTGAATCAAAACTCAAAACAATCAAAACATAATATCTTATACATATATGGAAGAATCTAGTTGAAAAATCAACCTGGTTGGGGTAGGGCGCCAAAGCTTATAAATGTTGACAACTTCATTAGGAGGCTGGTACATATGTAGGAACTCTGTGTGTTCATTTAGGATTGATTTGGGTGTTGGTGGGCATATATAGGAGTTAAGGAGAGTTAGGTCTGGGATAATAGGTGAGAAAGATAACATGATAACCATGCATGATGTCATGGATATGCAATGGAGTTATGATAATTACAGGGATGAGACTTATCTGAAACGAGTGATTATGTCATCGAATAATCATGTCCTGTTTTGTGTTTTTACCATGAGTATCTAGTTTCATACATAATATTAATTGATACATTTCTTATGATAATTATATTAGAAGGAAGGATGTTTGAATCAGTTGTTGTGTTGTTATCCAGAGCTAAGTGAAGTGGCAGGTGGTGTAGTGGTGATCGACAATAGTGATAATGGTGTGATGGTGGTTGAAGATAATGGTGATTAGTGATGATGGTGATTTTAGATACCACAAAAGAAAGGATACAATAGTCATTCTACATGTCTTTAACTGTGGAAAACAAAGGGGGTTAAGAGGGGTGAACCATAAGTGTTATCAAAACCCTTAATAGGGACCATTGGTGTTATTTTGCCAAAATTTAGACCAAAACTGTTATATCATGTAAACCATAGGGACCAAGACTGTAATTTACTCAATCTTTTTATATTATAAAAAAAATATTTTAAAGTTTGATGTCTACCTTCAAAATGTCGTAACACCAACCATTACGACACGTCTACACATCCGTACAGTCGACAGAAAAATAAACTAAATTTCCCATTAAGCCCCCCACAAGAAAGAAACCCTAACCAAGTCGATGAAGAAATAGAAAGACAACAGATTAGTGTCTCTATTCCCATTGGGTCCATTCTGGATCTCCAATAAATGACAAACAAAATAAATAAACCTCAATTTCGATACACATCTTACCATCTCTAGAGGGTTCTCCTTCTTGGAGCCTCTGTATATTTTTCTCCACCTTCTTCACATCTTCTTGATCCATTTCCCTTATGTTATTCCTTTCTCTTCGTAATCTCTTCGTGTTCAAGTGAAGAACATCACAGAATCCATAAACACGAAGAAAAACCATGGCTTTATCATCAGTTTGCAATGAAGTCCCATCATTTGCATTCAATCCATCTTTCATAAATCCCACAAAAAACCAATCTTTTTTCGAGTTGAGAACACCCACCAAGTTTTCTTTTCCTTATTCCATCAAACAAAGAAAACCCATGAAAATCTCGAAAACGACAAAGTTCATGAACCCTAGAACTGATGTGGCCGACCCTGTTTTTTATCGGGACACGATCAAGAAGATAGAGAGTGAGAAACAAGATGGGAATTTGATAGGGATTAAGCAAATGTTGAATCTTTGTGGATTTGGATATTGGGTTCAAGGATTTAGATGTTTTCCATGGTTAGCGTTAAATTTTCACATGGCGAACAGTTTGAATATGAATCCTTCAACGTTGCAACTTGTTCAGATTTTTGGTACTCTTCCAATGGTGGCAAAACCCCTTTATGGAATCTTATCGGATGCTATATTCATTGGTGGTTCTCATAGGTTGCCTTACATTTCCATCGGAGGTTAGCTCTTCATCTCTCAAATCTAATTTTGACCTAAATCTATTTGTGTACGTTAATATCCATGTTTATTATATCATCCTACTTTCAATTTGTCAATTTGCCATATTACAATGCTATACATTGATTTGCTTATTATATTTATAGCATCCTCTTTTCAATTACTTTGAAAAATCTACCCAATTATATCAATGTCATCCCAATACAAAGCAATTTCCAATTCTATAATTAGAAAATCGTTTTTTTTTTACAATTGGTGAAAAAAGTCGATCAATTTGTAAAATGTCCCATCATATAGTGGCGAGTTTTGTGATTATCTCGTAAATGAAAGTACATTGCTACTTATGAACCAATATCACGGATTATCCTTAGATTTAAAGCGCTTGATATCAATCTTTTCAGTTATGTTGCAGGTATTATCATGGGGTTCTATGGCATTCATGCCAACAGAAGCACTTCCTATTCTCATGACATTTGTTTTACTTAGTAATCTTGGAGGATCCATTACAGAAGTTGCAAAAGATGCTCTCGTTGCAGAATATGGTAAAAAAAACAAAATAAACGGTCTCCAATCATACGCATTCATGGCTCTAGCAGCCGGGGGCGTTTTAGGAAATTGTCTAGGTGGCTATGTCCTCTTGAAAACACATCAACCCAAAGCCATGTTCTTAATCTTTGCATCTTTACTCTCTCTCCAACTCGCATTCTCTTTGACAACAAAAGAAAAATCTCTTGGGTTACCTCACCCTTCAAATCACCATGAATCAATCTTGTTGGGTATCAAGAAACAATTTTCTAATCTAATTTTGGCAATTCGAGATGAGGGTATTTTCGTCTCACTTTCTTGGGTTGTGGGGTCTATCGCGATTGTTCCAATTTTATCGGGGTCTTTATTTTGTTATCAAACACAAATTTTAAATCTTGATCCGTTTATTATTGGGATGTCAAAAGTTATAGGACAGTTACTGCTTTTAGCAGTAACTGTCCTATACGATCGCCACTTGAAAACCGTTTCCATGAGGAAACTTATTGGTTTTGTTCAAGTTTTATACGCGGGTTCTCTCCTTCTTGATCTTGTTCTTGTAAAGCAAATAAATCTCAAATTTGGAATCCCAAATGAAATTTTTGTTGCTTGTCTTTCGGGTATGGCGGAAATCATTGCACAATTCAAGATTCTTCCTTTTCAAGTCCTTTTTGCCCGTTTTGCCCCTAAGGGATGTGAAGGGTCACTTATGTCATTTTTGGCATCCGCCCTTTGTTTGTCATCAATTTGTAGTGGGTTTTTGGGTGTTGGAATGGCGTCTATTCTTGGAATTACATCGGTTGATTACTCAAATCTTCATGTGGGAATCTTGATACAATTTATGGCTGCTTTGGTGCCTTTGTTTTGGATTGGGAATCTACCTAACTTAGAATCTTTAGATGAAAAGGAAAAGAACATGGGTTTGAGTAAAAGGAGGAGAAAGTATAGAAGAGTTGGAAGAGTTGTGTATAATATGGTTGTTGTTTATCGAAGAGAAAGAGAATCCGAAGCCCAAAGGTAAAGATTTAGAATCAAGAATATCTTTAGATACAACATTTGAAAGAGAGGTGTAACAAAGGCTTAGGCTAGGTTGATTTCTACAAACTTGTGTATAGTATATACATGTGAAGAATGTCATTTTTTATATGATTAATTCCATTGGATTCAAAACTTATGTTAGCATAAGTGGAGGATCCATTGTTTAATTGTGTTTGGATTTTTCTTGAAAGTTGTAGATCCTAAGGGTGGATTAGGGTTCTTGTTAAACTTTAACAACACTACAAGAAAGTACTTCGATTTTGTTCATTGATCTAACAATATATCCAAACAATAATTACATTTCTCCAATTATCTAGCAAATCAAAATCTTCAAATTGGGGTCTCTAATCACTAGAATCAATTCATTCAAGATTTCATAAATCTTATGAGATTCAGGATGTGAATTATCAGCAACAAAGAAACTATGAGTTTGACTATTAACAATAATCCAACTACACCCAGGCAGTTTCTTCAAGCTTCTATCTTTCATCACTCTTCTCACATCACCCACCAATTCCCACTTCCTACAACTTGCATAAAGATTAGAAAGAGACACATAATTAGAAGGATTTTCAGGTTCAATCTTGATAAGTGATTCATAACCCAAAACTCTTGTGTCATAATCCATATGAACCTCAAAACCACTCACAAGAGCTCCCCAAACACTAGGCCCAGGTTCTAAAGTCATCATCTTGATAAAAGTCAAAGCTTCATTGACCCGACCCGATCTTCCCAACAAGTCAACCACACAAGAACACATCTCAACCGTTGGATCAAAACCATATATATTCACCCATTTGTTGTAAACATCAAGACCTTTATCCACTAACCCTGATCTACTACAAGCGGATAAAACTCCAACAATGGTGATTGCATCCGGTTTGATTCCATTTTTGACCATTTTATCGTATAAATCAACTGCTTCATGGCCTTTATTGTGTAATCCATACCCTGAGATCATACAACCCCAAGTGATTATGTCTTTTGAGAAACAATCATGCTCAAAAACTAATCTTGCATTGATTAAATCACCGTTTTTTGAGTACATATCTATTAGAGAGTTGCATAAAGGAGTGTGATTTGTAAAACCGTTTTTGAATGAAAACCCATGAATTTGCATTACTCCTAACAACCCTGCAAATAAGTTACTAGCTTGGAGAACAATTAGAAGAGAAATCTCATTAGGTTTTATCAAATCTCTTTGCATTTCACAAAATAGAAGCATGACTTCATCTGGATCACCATTTTGTAGATAACCACTCATCATTGATGTCCATGAGAAGACATTTTTAAACTTCATTTGGTTGAAGATAAGTCGAGCAAAATTTATTTCACCACATCTTGAATACATATCTATTAAACAGCAGTCTAAGTGAACACTTGAATCTATGTCAAGGTTCATTTCATTTCTTATTGCATAACAATGGAGTTCCTTTCCATGATCAAACTTTCCAGATCTTGATCCACACAATGGAAGAAGATTGGATAATGTAAACTCATTAGGCTTCAGTCCTTCTGTTAACATGTACTTTACCAGCCCCCAAATTTGATAATTTGGGAAGGAGTTTTTACTGTTGATATATCCCGACAGCATTATGTTCCATGAAAAAATAGTTCTTTGAGGCATTTCATCGAACAGTTTATGAGATTCTTTAACTCGGTGACATTTGATGTACATTGACATCAAGGAATTGGTTAATACAGTATCTGATAAGAACCCAATTTTTATAGACTTCCCGTGAACCCATTCTCCGGCGGGGATGTCACCAATCACACCGGAAGTTTTAGCCAGAGTTGAGAATGTGAATCCATCAGGGGAAGAATTAACGCTTCGGCACATAGTATTAAAAATGGTGAAACATTCATGATGGAGATTGTTTTTTGCGAAGCCGTTGATTAACGTGTTCCATAAACATACATCCTTGAGTTCAGTGGAGTCGAAAAGCTTTTGAGATTGAAGAGGGTTCTTGGAAGAAGAGTAGGCATTTATTAAATTGGTTAAGACCACAGGGTGTTGGTGGAGACCCAAGTAGCAAACTCGAGCATGGGTTTGTTGGGTTAGTTTCAGAGATTGATTGTTGATTGAGAGTTGAAGAAGTCGGAGAAGGTGGCGAGGAGCAGGGAAATCTGATGGCATTGTGAAGAACATCGAAAATAGACAAAAAGTATCTTATGTTTGCTCATTGCTGTTTAAGGTTCATACGAATGAAAACATATGCCTCCTTTTTAGCCAAAAAAAACAACATCCTATTTTGCTGAATCTGATGTTAACACCTCAAACACCATTTTTAATAACTTTGATTGAGATATATTATTAATTTAATTAATCATGTAATAACATTCTTATATCATCAGTAACATCATCAATATCATGGATTAAAGAGATCATTTCGTAAACTTCATTTTAATGCATTAAAACTTAAAAATGATAATTACTTTTGAGTTCTCATCCATGATTTACATTAAAGGCTTATCACAATTCAAACTTATTAACATTCACAATTTCTAAATCTAATGAATCCATAAGTGTTTTGCAGAATTTGAGCTTAAAACTTTGGTAAAACACCAAAAATTCGCTTTCAAACCAATAAAAGGATTCAACTTCACAATTTGGACTTAGAATCATACACCCTTAATCTAAAACATATATTTAGCTCATAAAATGGTAAATTTGAGTTTTGATAAATCAAATGGATGATTCGTGATTCATGTTAGGTCTTCAAAATCACCCAGAAGCTTCATAAACCCAAATTTCATTATGGATTTTGAACTCTTATCCATAGATTAGTGTTAGAAACATTAATTTAGCACAAACTCGTATTAAACATGAATCTCATCTTAAAATTCAGATTTGAGATACAATTAACAATAAACATGAATCTCATCTTAAAATTCAGATTGAGATACAACTAACAACAAAATGACCAAAGAAATGCTATCGAGAGCAAAAAGAGAAAGCAAGAAGAAAGACAAAAAGGACCAAAATGATAATTTTAAAAACAAAGTATAAATAAAAATAAAAACTTAAATGTATAAAAATTTAATATAGCACAAACTCGTATTAAACATGAATCTCATCTTAAAATTCAGATTTGAGATACAATTAACAATAAACATGAATCTCATCTTAAAATTCAGATTGAGATACAACTAACAACAAAATGACCAAAGAAATGCTATCGAGAGCAAAAAGAGAAAGCAAGAAGAAAGACAAAAAGGACCAAAATGATAATTTTAAAAACAAAGTATAAATAAAAATAAAAACTTAAATGTATAAAAGTTTAATATTAAATTAATTAAGTACAGAAAAGGGTAAAATTAATAATAAATAATAATATAAATATTACAAACAATAAATGATAAAAGGTAATAATATTAATATTAATGTTGTTAAACTTTTTATTAGATATAGTGAGATATACTCAAATACAGAAAACAATAAATTTTATACTCAAAAATAGGATTTCTTTTAACACCGCTCTTGAGAAAAAATAGATGGGCACCTCACGGAACAAGTTTATATATGTCGTGTACTAATATGTGTACTAGAGTTCAAAATTTTGAATAATATAAATAACTAATTATCCAAAATAATGAAAGTGAAAAGTTGGCTGTTGTTTAAATTACAAAAAGAGAGAGAGAGAGAGATTATATATGGTCCAAATAAAAAAGGGTTTGCCAAGTCAAAAAAGTGAGACATGATCAAGTTCAACTCCAGTTGTTTGATGTTAATGTAAACCTATTTAGGCAACATAAGTAGTGGATAGGGAGAGAATTTTGTCGAGGGTTTTTATAACGAATATTATTGACTAATCAATCATTCCATTTAACAAAAGATCTTAGAATTAGTTTGGTAGAAATTAGATATTTTCTAACTCGACTGTGAATAATAATAATACAAAATACTCAAATTTTACTACGTTATTCTAGTAGCAAAAAATGAATAAACAATTGTGTACTTTATATCAAATGAACCACAAATTTTATTACGAGTATTTAGGAATGCGTCATCTTTCCTTTTTCTTTTCAATTTTATTCTTTTTGTTTTATTTTTCGGTCCAAAATGGTTATAGCTTAAGTTGTGAGGCAGCATCTTAATTTTGAAGACTTATATTTTTTAAAAGGCTTTAAATTTTTAAGATCTAACTTTTTAAAATGTAAAAAAAAAAAAAAAAACAAACAAAAAACAGACGGTCATGAAACAGAAAAAGAAGAGAACAAAATCATTGCGGAAAAATTAATGTATTTCTGAAACACGGTCATGTTTTTTAGGGTAAATAACATAAAAATCACGAAGTTTAAACTGAAATTCGATTTTGACATTACCTTATTTTTTTTTGTCTCAAATTGGACATTGGGTATCCGGTTTGTTACAATTTTGACAATTGAACGGTCAATCTGGTTGTTTGCTGACATGATGACATATAAGTTTCTGATGTCGTGACATGCTAGCATGACCTGCTGACGTGTCAAAATTGAAAAAAAAAAACACAAAAAATATTATTTTATTTATTTATTTTTTTTCAATTTTTATACTAAGTTATCATTTTTTTATCAGTTTGGACACTCTGTTTTTTTGTTCTAAATCGAACATCATTTTTTTGTAATTTTGTTATATATATATATATATATATATATATATATATATATATATATATTACATTTGAAACCATATAAATAATTTTTTTTTATTTAATACCCACATTTTTTTTTGTATAAGTACAAACCATTTACATTCAAACCATAATGTTATATATAAATATGTAACAACTCAAAAACAATGATAAAATTTTACATTTTTAAAATGAATAGTTTCATTCACCAAATATCTCCAAGTAAATCACCAAATACACTATCAAAATATCAAAGTACAAATATCCAAAAAGTACGGAAATCATGAGGGGAGGATGTTGTGCCATCACGTCGGGCCCTTTTCCTTCGTACCAGAAGTACCTGAAACCATAAACAAAACTGTAAGCACAAGACTTAGTGAGTTCCCCAAAGTACCACATACCAAACATACAACTGGGCCTAGCCCTGGGGTATATTTCAACCCAATACATAAATATGGGCCTAGCCCTAGGGTTTCTTCCAACCCATCATATACTCATGGGCCCAACCCTGGGGTCTATTTCAACCCAATCATACAATAATGGGCCCATCCCTGGGGTCTATTTCAACCCAATCATACAAACATGTAAAAGTCATATAACAGTTAGCATCCTACATAAATAATCTGGTGGGCCGACATTAGTGCCTTCAACCCACAAGCGCAGTGAGAAGACTCACCTCAACTAAAGATATCCGAAAACACACACTCGAGCTGCTGCTACTACGTCTCCTCACACTGATCATAGCCCAAAATCAATTCTAGTTCATAATCGGGATTCTAACCCCATAAACGAAGGTCCAATTCATCCTTGAACATATTAAGGGAAAAAGACCATCTTGCCCTTCCCATACATGACCCAACTAGACAAGGCCCAAAACCCAAAATGGCCCAAGGCCCAAGGCCCAAAAAATAGCCCAAAAGGTTTTTCGAGATTACACCCAGCATACTCTTTACTATGCCCGACGCACAACTCGATCTCGAAAGGGTTACGGGGCCATAACCCACTACACTCAGCGTACTCAGGAGTACGCCCCGCAGAACCCTCTAAACTCCAAACTATCTTTTAATGTCTTAATACTTTAAGACTTAAGGTCCAAGCTTCAGATATACGCCTAATAAACGTCTAAAATCATAAAGTTGCAACATTTTTTCCTTTGCATGGCTACAAGGAGCCCAAAACCAAAACCCCAACTCATATAATGTAACATCCATAAAATTTATGAAAAATTTTAAACTTTTAAAACCAATCCACAAATCATCATTGTTTACAAAATAGTTTCTAAAACATGTTTAATATCAGAGTTTTCCCAAAATCATAAAACAAAACACGAGGAGGTGCACGATCACGTCTTCGCCTTCCCGCGATCACCTGAGGTACCTGAAACATAACCTAAAACTGTAAGCCCAAAGCTTAGTGAGTTCCCCCAAAGTACCAACACACAAACAAATAACACATATACAATAACAACATACTATGGGTCCAATCAACCATCGGGTTGGAATACCCCATGCCCCTCAACCATCAGGTTGGAATGCCGACATACTATGGGTCCAATTAACCATCGGGTTGGAATACCCCATGCCCCTCAACCATCGGGTTGGATGCCGACATACTATGGGTCCAATCAACCATCGGGTTGGAATGCCAACATACTTTGGGTCCAATCATCATCGAGATGGAATACCCTCGGGCCCATTCAACCATCGGGTTGGTATGCCCCGACCCGTTGGCTTACGTAAAAAGCAGTGAAGCCTCACCCACCGACCAAACATGTGCATATATAACAGATAATCATATAACAGTCTACACCCAGTCAAAAAAATCTACATATCACTAAGCATACCATCATCCTATATGCCAGGATACCGATCTAACAGACCACTACAGTACTATGGCATGCATAACATGATGTCAATCCAATGGGCCGACATTGGTGCCTTCGACCTACAAGTACAGTGAGGAAAACTCACCTCGCAAACTGAATAGAAAGATGAGGCCCGACTCCGAATCTCATCTCTCTAAACGATACCTATTTCTACCAAATGACCGATTCCATTAAAATCCCAAAATACCCTCAAGGTCAAACTTGGTCAAAGTCAACTGGTCAAACCTATAAGTCAACGGAGTCAAACCAACCGAGTCAACTCAAGTTTGGGAGTACGCGGGGCGTACTCCGGAGGTACGCTAAGCGTACGCGAAGCCTCGTAGAAGACTACCATCGGGGTGGTTGACTGAGTACGCGGGGCGTACCCTCGCAACTTCCAAATTCTATTTAGTGCTTAATGACTTAAGCACTTAAGCCCATATTTCAGATCCATGACCAAAACACACCCTAGAGTCATAAAGTTTCCAACTTTATGACTTTACACGTCTAATAAGAGCTTAACAAAAGGTCTTAATCCATTAAGACCTCCTACAAGATGCATGGAGCAAAACTAACCAAAATGGACTTCATTTTTTTATGGCTAAGGACCCCTCATAGGGTCTGAAAGGACAACTCAAAACGTCAAGAACATGCCATGCT